GGACGCGCTGCCTCCCCGGGTGCCCATCCCGAGGCGGGGCGGCTGCACCTTCTCCTCCGCAGGGGGATGGCGAGCGGCAGGGCCGGGCCTCTCCAGCGGGAGTCCAGGATAGCGCATCCTGACCTATTTATGGGTCGGGGGAGGGCTGACGGGGGGGCACTGGGGCTGCAGAGCCCTCGGCAGGTCCCTCTCCCTTCTGTGAGAGGAAAGAGGCCAAGCAGCAGGGGGTTATGGGCGGCCCGAGAGGCGGAAAACAGATTGCAGTTCTGCGGTGGGCAGGGATGCGCGTAGTTGGGAGCTTGGCTCGTACGTGCGTTGATGAGCTGGGAAAAAGGAAAGCGGGCTGTAAAGAGATGGCATTTCTCGATGACGCACAGTTATTTTACATAGTCAGGGTTAGAAAATAAACTTGTGGAGCATCAGAGGTGCCTGTTGTGGAGGTGGATGGCGACCTGGCGCTGACAGAACCCGTTTTGGCATGTGTGAAGGCAGAATCCTCAGTGGTGCCTGTCTGTAACCTGGCAGCTTGCACAGAGTGCTGTGGTCTGTATTAACAGCCAAACAGGAGAAGAATTTAAAAAACCTTGTGTGCTAACTGCCTGTAAATGCTTTGCAGCCGTTAAAAGAAAACACTAATAATGTATAAGAAATACTGTGGTATCTGTAAAATGAAGATATGCCACACTTTTGTGCTGATTTATAATTTTAAACTCTGTGGGGAAAAATTAACCCATCTGAAGAATCTTTCAAAGTTCCTTAGTTAAAGCCAGAAGGTGTCTAACTGCTGCACAGTACACAATGTAAAACTTCTTTATCAGTGAAAAATCTATCAATATGGAAAGCAAATGTCACTTGGCATTTCAAAATACCCTTCTCATTTTGGGAATGGAGAGAGATGAGGTGATGGTGTTCTACAGTACAATGCTCCTTTCTTCAAATGGATATAGTAAATAGAAGTTAAATTACATTTTTATTGCTCAAGATTGATTAAATGGGATGTGAGAGAGTGTAGAAATTGTGAAGCTAGTGCTAATGGTAGGCCTTAAAAGAATGTAAGTCTTATAAAAGTAAAAAAAGACATTACTGTTCTGTATAATACATACATGTACTTACTGTGCTTTTATATTAGCCACGGTGTTTGGCTTAGTATCTCGCTCTGAGATGCGCTGTCTGTAGCTGTTTGGCATGGTGCATTTATGAAACTTGGCACTCTGCCTGGAAAAAAAATGCAACTCTGATATGTTGGAAGTACGTGACTTAACAATAGTGATAATCTACCCATTGCAGAGCATTGCCGAAGTATTCCGATGTTTTATTTGTATGGAGAAATTGCGCGATGCACGTCTGTGCCCTCATTGCTCCAAGCTGTGTTGTTTCAGTTGTATTCGGGTGAGTTTGCTTATTATAGTTTATTCTTGCAAATGTATGAACTTAAAAGCTATTGCTCTTGTGAACATATTGTTGGTTCTTTCTTTCCCGTTTTCCTGGAGTTCCAAGGATTCCTCTTTCCTGCTCTGTGCTCTGTAGTTTCCCTTTCAAAATCTTTTGCAACAGCCTGAGGGAAAACTAGGCAGGCTGTGCTTCAGTAGTGCTAATTATAGGGACTATTTGGAATAATTGCTTTTAAGAAACAGACATGTAATGATCTGTTCTTTAGCATCCCTTGAGAGTCAGTGATGCCTCTATGGAAGACAAAAGTTGAAAGAGGAATCAAATGCTGACTTAACATCTGTCATTATGGAGAAGAAGAAGGTTATAACATCAACTCTTGTCATCCTGGAGATGTTTTTAAATGCTTACCAAACTAGTATGATATGATCAGGTGCGAGCTAAATCTTTCTCAAGGGAGTCTGGTCTAGCAGGCTGCAGCAGCACCTGAAGTACCTCAGCTCATTTATTAAGGTCACCAGCATATACCACTTCAGTTCCAGTCCAGGTGCTGTTATATGTTAGTGTGGTGGGAGAGGGTTCAGCTGAGGTTTTCAGACCTCCAGAAATGGGAACAGACAAGCATCATTTGCTTTGAAAGCTGTGACAAGAACTATAGGTGAAGGATTTGTGGTACATATTGAGAATGTTAGATGCCATATTGTCGCTGGGTGGTGAGAGATTATTCATGAGAAGCTTTAAATGTAGTAGTGAGCTGACAAATATAAGCCCTTCAACACTTCTAAGCTGTAGTGGGCAGATGAAGTTCTTCCCTCAGCTACTTGTCTTTGGAGCTTTCTGGAAGAGAAGCATTCAAAGGATCCTTGTGGATTTGATTGCTGAACTACAGGTATCTAACTTGCGTATAAATAGCTTGAGAGGAAGAAATAAGTTACCCTGAAGACTACTAATTTATACTCCAAAAAATATACTTGCTATATCTTTTGTTTTTGTTGAAGTGTGCTCTTTAGTCTGTGATGATGGGAGTCTGCACCAGGTGTGTGCTTTCTAATGGAATGTTCGGGACCTCAAAAGTCTCTGGATAATTTTAACTGAAGTGCTTCTGACATCTAAAGAAAAGCGGTTGCTTTGTTACTAAGATACAAATAGCAGCTGCTTTTGTGACTAAGTGGTTGAACAGTTAAATTACAAATCTGTAAAAAAAGAAAGGAAAAATATAGGAAGACTGTAATAAAAAGAAGCAACTCATAATTAATTATGGAATGCGTTTGCTTGCAGTTCTTAGTCTCTTTAAAACTGTTTTTCCTTTTTTCTTCATAGCGTTGGCTCACTGAACAAAGAGCTCAGTGCCCTCATTGTAGGTAAGGTATCTTTAATATTGGGAATATATTATCAAGAATTGGGTGTACTGTCCTGTTGCGAGCCGTCTTTTTTCAGTGCAGGTTGCACTAAATTTGTGAGCTTGATTTTTGAGACCTGCCTGTTGTTGCTATAAAGATTTACCCCGGTATAATACTTATTCTAAAATACGTTCTAGTTTTGTGACAAGCTAAGATCTTTGTTTTTCCCCTATACAGTGCTCTTTCCAGTGCATGTAGTTGGTGTAATAAGAGTGACAAGATGGTATTGCCTTTAGATTCACTTCAGTGCTTCTCTTCTAGCTCCCACAGCAGATGTCTTGCTCTAACTCTAGCAATGCTTCTTGCAGAGCCCCGCTGCAGCTACGGGAGCTCGTCAACTGTCGTTGGGCGGAAGAGGTCACACAACAGCTTGATACGCTTCAACTGTGCAACCTCACAAAGCATGAAGAAAATGAAAAAGACAAGTAAATGGAGCATTCTTCACTTAAAGCGTTTTGCAGTTTGCCTTATATGAGCAGGCTTCTAGTTTTAGCTCATTACTAAAATCAGGGAACAAACTGATGACTCTGACTGACTTAAAAGCTGAATTGTGCTCACTGTCTGACTAAAACTTGGAGTTCATTTCTGTGCACTTCATACTTAGTGGAACCAGAAAAGCTCTTCAGTGTCTTTGCCTAGAAAACTGCTGCTATTTCTGGTGTGACTCAATACACTTAAAATGAGAGAGATGGGAAACATGAAGGGTGGTAATACTTCCTAAGGCTTTTAGCCCTTCTTAGTGACCATGCCTCTGAAATGAAAGTCTTCTCTCAATGGCTTGCTCGTTCAGCCGTCCCATTAAGACTGTGGGTGCTGATTTTGTATCTCAGCACATAAAAGCAGAGAAGCTGTTCTGAGGAGGTGTCTTCTGGTCCATTGCAAAAAACAGAATTGATAAACCCAGCTTGAGAGCAAAGAAAATATATAAAGTCCCACAGAAAGCACCACTGTTGTTATGTCTGTCATGTTACTGCTGTTCATTTTCCTTCCTTGTCTTCAGAGCCTCCTGTATTTTCTGATACATTCTTATCCTAGAGCAACCGTCAGTGCTTTCTCAGCAGGCTTTTCTCCTGGTTTTGTCCCATTACCAGTGCTGTTATGTGTTTTAAGATATATTCTGGAGATTTGGAGGAGAAAAGTGTGAGAAGCAGCACTGAAAAATGGACAGGGACTAATTATGTGTTCTGTACCTGCCTCCTCCCAAGTTCCTGGGTCCTAATGGAGGGGGAAGGGAGAGGTGTGTATTTTAGGTTTGGCTTGGTCAGTGCTCCATTTCTTGATCATTGCTGTTTCTGAAATCATAAGAAATTAAAGATAATTTTGTTCAAAAAGCTTATGAGCCATTGCTCTGTGGTTACTTTAGGATACTTATGATTAGGATTTTAATAATGTCAAGTATTAACTTGTAGAATTCTGATCTTGATTTGCTGATGATTTCCTTTGTCTGCTGGGTAGAAGTTGAATTTTAGTAATGTACTTTCTATCTCTGTGAAATAATTCCTGTGAGAATACTCAGAGCAACATTTATTTTACAAAAGGTTTTCATTGAATATAAGTATAGTTCTTGCAAAACTATGCAGATATTTTGTGCTTTACTGTCAGTATTGGGGAGCAAAAATGTTAAATAGAGTTTGCAGAAAATGCATGGCTGTTTTCTGTTGATGATACATGTGTCTTTTGTTTAAGGTGTGAAAATCATCACGAAAAGCTTAGTGTTTTCTGCTGGACCTGTAAAAAGTGTATCTGCCACCAGTGTGCTCTCTGGGGAGGAATGGTAAGAAGAGGCTTGCTTGCTTATGTGCACGGGGTGTGTTACAATAAAAGACTGCAAGCTGTGTTTGACAGCAGTGTGAAGAAATAGAAATGCTATGAAACTATTGTTACGGCTGTTGAGTTGCCATGCAAATGCTGTAGCTGTGTGGATGTTTATAATTTAATGTGAACATTGGTTGTGAAAGGTGATAACTGCTTATAACTAGAGAAGCAAGTTGATTTTTTTTGCCGAAATGGGGTCAGAATTGCCTTCCTTGTTACAAACTTTATGATGTCTTGGACAAACTGTAGATGGTACTGAGAATCTTAGGGTGTTTCCCAGAGAATATAGATGTCATTTATGTTCTTTAAATGTCCTGGTCTGTAATCTTGAATATCTTCAAAGCTGTATTAGTAGCACAGTTCACCACACTGTTTATTATCTTTTCAGTTGATTACTTCAAAGAGAGACTGCTGTCATTTTTTGGAATATAAGTGGCTAAGAGTGGGCTGCCCTCATTTGGGAAGGGTGTTTTAATAATTTAAAAAAGAAAACCAAACAAACTCCTTCTGTCTTTATTTGGTTTGTTAATTGCCCAGTGAAAGATGCAGTTCATTATTGGAGGACTGTTGAAACTCCAAATAACTCTTGACAGAAAGCTTCAATGGTGTGAAAGCCAAATTCATGACTTCTTGTGAAGGGAAGTGAAAGACAAGACTTCCTACATACAATCTGCTTTGGAGCTTTTCCAAAATGAGTGATACACTAGGAGGCTTTCTTCCCCTCTCTTTCAGTCATTTAATAGGAGTGGAATAAAGTTAAAATGGGATGCTGTGTGATTTCTACCTGCCCTTTTTTCTTTTCTTCTTTTTTTTGACAGCATGGAGGACATACTTTTAAGCCACTGGCAGAAATCTACGAGCAACATGTCACTAAAGTTAATGAAGAAGTGGCAAAGCTTAGGAGAAGACTCATGGAATTGATTAGTTTGGTGCAAGAAGTGGTAAGAACTTTTTAGTTATACTCTTTTCATACAATGTGGACAGATCAACATTTTCTCAATACTGGTTTTGTAGTTGCCGGACAGAAAAAGATGTGATTTCTTTTGGTGTATGCTAGCTATTTAAAAGCTAGAGTTGTGCAGTTTTTTTAAAAGATGTATTTTTGTCAACACTTATAAAAGTGCAGTGTGCTATGCTAAACAAGTATAAAAATGCTTTATTCTAATAGAGCTTACTTTGTTTAGAGGAAGAGACTGCAGGTATAGTTGAGCTTACAGGATGGGCTGTAAAGCTGCTTACCAGTTAGAGATTTGCGTACCTCCTTTGTCTTTCCCATAGGGGTAAATGTGTTAGACATCCAAATACCTACGTGTTCAGCATTTTAGCAGTTTCAGTGGGCATTCCAACAATTCAATACAGTTTCTTGTGTTCTAGGAAGGATTATTTTTGTTCTGCTGAATGCTGTTTCATTTATTGTGTAGTCTTTGTGCAAATAAGTTGTTTTTTTTAAAACATGTTTCCGTATGGCTTTTGCCAGTGCTTTTATTCAGGTAGTTGTTTGCCACATGCAGTAGTAGTTTAGCTCTGCTTCAGCTCAGACCTGTGTGTTTGTATTTGTAAAATGTTGAGAGGATTGCTTCCTTCACCTTCCAGGATGAAGGGTGGAATTTTTATAAAATTTTTTTTACCAAGAAGGTAGCTTTTCTGTGCTGCTTAAGTTACAGAAGAGAAACTGACAGTTTGTATTGACAAAATTTGATACTGAAGAATCCCCAGGTGACAAATTACGATGTAATGAGAAAACATTGCTCAACTTTACTGTTAACCTTTGATCACCCACCAGAGGGCATGCTCATGTAGTCAGTAAAAGTCAAAGGATATTTGCAACTGGCAACAGGAATAGCCTGTTAATACAGCTCATCTGAAAACACGTTCTTGTTTTCTTACTCTAAACGTGCAAGCTTCAGTAAGACCAGGATTTTTTTTTTTTCCTCCTAGAAGAATAGGGCTGGAGGGAACTCTAGGAAGGCATAGGCATTTGGGATCTGAGAGAGTGGAGTCAACATGTAAACGAGTGAAGTGTGCAAAAGTATGATGGCTTTCTTTTTGTGCATATTTTTTCCTGAACTCTGTTTTAGGAGAGGAATGTGGAGGCAGTGCGTAGTGCAAAGGATGAACGAGTCCGGGAAATCCGGAATGCAGTGGAGATGATGATTGCCCGCTTAGACGCTCAGCTGAAGAATAAGCTTATAACGCTGATGGGTAGGTATTTGCCTGATCTGTTATGAGTAAGGGCAATATATTCACCATGTGTAAATCTGTTGAGAAACTTTCTGGGAGTATAACTTCTTGCGTACTTTGTAGTGTTAAGCAAGTTAACTGCCGACAGAAAACTTCTGCCTGCAGGAAAGCCTTTAGTTAATTATGTAGTTACTGTGATACAATTCTAAGTTGCTAGGTGCAACCTGGTTATGTTCTGTTAGAAACTCCTGTATAGTAACTTGGAGAATGTTTCCATCTAATTGAAATATGTTTAGTACCTTTCACCTAAAGTGTCTTTACACCATCGTTGGTGTTAGCCAAGAAGTCCAGCTTTGTAATTTGACATCTTTGTAATACATACTTTTTTAAAACGTAATTTTGAAGTCTAGATGAGATGTCTGATGAGCAGCAGTTCAGATCCACACATACAGGCAGCCTTGTCTGCAGATGAACACGGCATCTGGAATCAGAGCCATTAGTTTGGTTCCTGACACATTTGCTAACTGGGGACTGGTCACTTTAACTCTTCTTTGTAGCAGAGGTGAGAAGACAGGTGATACACTTGCACATATTGAAGCTTACAGAAGCAATGTTACTAAAAGTTTAAGTTTTTTTCAACAAGGACAACATTCCACACTGGGCTATAACTCTGTACGTCCTTTGCTCAACTGATTTTGCCTTGGTTCTTTCATTTGCATAAGTACATCCATAGGAGCACGTACTAAAGGTGATGTCTTCTTGGGATATTGGTTTCTTTAGACACTCTTGAAATGTTATACTTTTGGCCTTAGTTTTGCAGGGTACACAACCAGTAGATAAAAGTACACAGACAATAGATCCTTGACCTTGTATCTGTATATTTGTCTCTGAAATGAAAGTAAGGCAATGAAGTAGCTGTGCTGAAAATGTATTTCTCATGCTTGAAATCTTCACGTGCAGATGGGCACACACTCCCTCTCCCTGGCGCACACCCAAAGAAAACCTGAAGTATTCAAGCTTGGAAAGCTTTCATAATGCTTGTGTTTTCCTGGTAGTTCATTTCCAATAAAAATGAAACAACATAATAAATGTATATTGGCTATATTTCAAGTTCATCTTCAAATTCATGTCAGTGCTTTAAAATGTTTGCTTTACATTAAAGTCAAGATTTGTATGTTCATATGTTGAGCTTATACTGAGTACAGTAATCAGTCATAATATTTGTTTTAATGTGTACTGATTAAACATCAGTCTTAAAGCTATGGTACAATGTCTTCACTGTTTGTGTGCACAGGTTAACATTTGTCAGAGTAAGAACTTTTTTTCTAACAACTGCCAAACACTCTTCAGGTATGCTGTGTATGATGGAGACAAAGTAAACCCCTGTGACAGAAAGCAGACAAACGTGGCTTAGGTTTTTATTCTGCGTCGTCATGTTCTGCGTGCTGGTTGAAATGCACAAAAACAGTTAAATATTGTTTGTTATTTTTTATGAAGAAACAAACATGTAAGACAAGTCATGGCTTTTAGGAGAAAAGTCTCAGCTAATATGAGAGAGGATTGTCTGGATGAGAGCAAATTCAATGAAGTCAAACCTTCTTTTTTAATTTTCTCTCTAAACAAGCACCCCGAAACAACAGACCTCCTCTTTCTGGGACACAGAATGTTTCATTACTGTCTTAACCTCAAGTGAGTTCTTCACTACAGCTCTAATTAAAAACGTAGGCTTGCTTTTAATGTGCTTACTCAATCAACCTTGGTATACTTAGAAATCCTTTACCTTTAGTGGGTTCTGGGACAGCTTCAAGGTAAAACAAAGAGGAACAAAAAGGAAGAGGCTTGGTTTCTTTAAATCCAGTGAATATTTCTTCTTTTTCTTTTTCTCTTTTTTTTTGTTTCTTTAAACATATATTCTTTTCTTTAAACAGGTCAAAAGACATCACTTACTCAAGAAACTGAACTTCTGGAATCCCTGCTTCAAGAAGTGGAACACCAGGTGATTATGAAAAGAGCTGAAATGTTGTGTTACATAGGTCCCTCCTCAGTCAGCCTGTCTTCATATTTTATTTTATTGTTAAACTATTAATTTATGGATATTTCCTGAGGGTATCTTCTCATTTAAGTGGCCTTGGGTTGCACAGTTTCTTCTTAAAAAGATATATGTGTTCCAGAAATAACGAAGGATGTTCTGTTGCTTGAAAAACTTGTATAGGCATTAATAGCAATATAAAACTGTAGAGTTATGCATTTGTTTAAGGTGACGTAGCATTTAGATGGTACAGGTAGGTTCTGTTACTTCTGCTGCTGCCGACTGCATATGAATAGTGGTGGCTGTAAATGTAGAATAAACAAAAATGTTCTGTTTCCCTTTGTGCTTCTGAGGAAAAGTGAACTGCTTCTAGTTCTCTTATTCCTGTCCATGTGTCTTTCCAAGAAGATGGCATGGTATCACATCTTTTGTCTTGCTTCTCGCTATACAAGTTCAGCTTTTGTAAATGAAATAGTCCAGTTCTGCAGAGCTTGATGGAACTCACCCTGAACAATTTCTGCTTGCTCTGAGGAAATGGAAGGATTTTCTTCCTTCAAACATTACTGCATCCAGTAATTATCTTTCAGCAGAGTTTGACATTATAGGTTGGGGATTGCGGCTAATCTGCTTTGTGAGTGATGCCTCTTGTCCTGTATTCCTCTTTCATTCCCTGCACTGCTTTTGATTCAGTAAGAATGCTAAGCTGGCTTTATCACCTGATCAGCGATTGTCATGTTCTCCTCGCACTTAATTATTCCATACCTATGATGGAATGCTGTAGTTGAAGAATCGATGACATCAGGAAGATGAGTGCTCCTGCATACCATGCATCAGCATTTTTGTGACTGTTTAAGAGCTCTCTATTTATAGCTCAATCAGAAATTACTCATGTTGCAGACCAAATGATGACTTTCTGAATCCTTCTGAATAGCAGTGCGTATACAACTCGTGTGCAGAAAAAAAATTAAAATAATAATAATAAGTAGCAACTAGTGAAACACGACCTTTCCATTCAAAATAGGAGCAAAAGCTTACTAAGTAAAAAAAATTGTGAGAAGATGCAGGCATCTGGCAACTGCATAGGTCTCTGCTGCTTATTTGAAGTCATTATATATGAGAGACTTTCATACTCATATTCTTTTTGTGGAATAAATAGAAATATTTGAAGCCAGTGGAAATACAACTTTTAAAAATGTATTTGCTAGTCTCACTTAAGCCTGGCAGAAGACTTTAAATTAAGTCTAATATATGCTTTTTCCAATGTTTAAAGTATAAATAAAAAGCAGAGTAGATTTGTCTGCTTTAGTAAAGATGTTTGGAAAATACAGTATTAGCTGTTCAAGGAACATATCAGATTAGATTTTTAGTTTTTTTCAGATTTTGAAAATACCTTTGTTGTTACACTGATTTTGTAAGATATCTGTAATGAGTAGATTGAAGTTGTTTTTTGTCCTGTTTAAGACAATGTAGGCTTTGTTTTGTTCAAATTCAGATGAACAAAAAAAAATACAATGCTTGGCAATACAGCCATAAAGAAATAATTAAATGTAAGAGAACTGTCTAATGTCACAGGAGCTTGTATTGTTGTGATGTGAGGTATCTGAGCAAATTATCCCAATGTCTAATTAAGCATCCAGTCCAGATTGATTTACTTTGTTATTGTTGTCTAAACACAGTAATAGATGTGACTTGGTATTGATCAGACATGTTATATATAAGTTAGTTTAACTAAAGTGAAATACACAGTAGTCGCTGTAACTTCCATTGTAGAATTTCAGTCTTAAATATTCAGGACTTCCGGATGGGTTGCACAGGCTTTGGAGTGAGACAGAATTGGAATACCCGTTCTGATTTCCTAACGCATTTTAGAACGCATCACCATGGGCTATGGTAGGCAAATTCTTAGTCTTAAGAGCTGACAGTTTCAGGGGAAATAAACACCAAACAAATGAGGAAAAAAAAAAACCCCAACAAACCAACAACTACCAAAACACAAACAATAAAAACCTGCAAGCTTCATTTTACGTTGTGTTGTGGGTAATCCTTCTGAAGCTGTGACAAACATGCAGTTTATTTGAAAACAGAAGTGGTCAAAACCTATGGTTTCTACTAATGACATAAGGATTTTTTTCTTCTTGTTTTTTTCCCCCCACGTAGTTACGATCGTGTAGTAAGAGCGAGTTGATATCCAAAAGTTCAGAGATCCTGATGATGTTCCAGCAGGTTCATCGGAAGCCTATGGCTTCATTTGTCACCACTCCTGTCCCTCCAGACTTCACAAGGTAAGGATTGTATTTCCTTTCTGTGTGAACTTGAAAACCATCTGATAAGGGTTTGTTTTGCTTGTTAAAAATGTTTAAGGTAACTTAGAGGAGAGTATCTTTCTCATTTTACTGCACCACTGTATGGAGGAGGCTATTTCAGTGAGTCTTGGAGGCAGATATGTTCTTAGGTGCATCAGCCTCCTGTAAAACTAGGACAGGAGAGTGCTATTGTACTTTATCACATGGGTTTGAAAGAGTGGCTGATGGAGAGCACCCTACTACCCACCCCTAGCAAAGGGGAGTTGGACTTCTCAGCTATATGAGCAATGGCAATGGTAATCTGTGGGGTAACATGATTCTGTCCATTTCTGTGTTAAACTTGATCTCTCTGACTGAACTTGGGTCCAGGCTTATACACTGAAAATGATAAGCTGCTTAACTCACTCCTCTTAGTAACCTGTGCTGCAAGTAGGCTTTTCTGTTCCAGCAGGGCTTATTTTATGTCTGTAGTCCCTACTGGGGAGCCAGAACAGTGGGTTCCAGCTGACAGGATTTTTTTCTCTTTTACACTTAGTTAACTGATTTGTCCTTTTTCTCTTATTATTGGGTCATTCAGTATATAATTGCAGGGCTCTCATGAGATGGCTCTGCAGGTCACCTTAATTCAGAATATATAACCAAAATCCCTTCATATCACAATTCTTCATAAAGAGAGTGCTGCTAGTGCTGAGCTCTGAGGAAGTCTGTTGAGAGGTTAGGCTAGCTGGCCAAAAAGTGTCTCCAAAAAGTTGGAAGTAGAAGAAGTCTTAGAAGAATTTCTCAAATAATATTGTGTTGTCTAGCAAGAATCAGTTTAAATGCAATCTCAAAACTAATGTCCTGACATGTTTCCTGAAAAGCATAATTAAATTGCTCTCTGAGGAGAGTTTAAATCTGAATATTTATTTTCTGATGCCAGTAAGGTATCTCTGCTCTGAAACAAACCATTTAAACTTTGTGCCATGCGATAGTTTCATCCTTTCTAGAACTACCAGGGAGTCTTAAGTTAAAAATTTACCACATTAAGAGATTATTAGGCATCCCATGTAAAAGA